GCCGTGGTCCCTCTGGCATACACATAGGGATTTATAGCATTTATTGCTGTGAACATCTTCCACCTATGTTCTGTTTTACAAGTAAAAATTGCTTTAACATAGCCACGCCCAAGTACATGACAATGTGCTATGCCAGGAGTGGCCAAACATACTGACCCTACAAGCTATATACAATAATCTTCAGAAGTTCGAGAGCTGCAAGACATGCTCAACCTGCCCCGTGGGACAGTGCCTGCCACGGTATGGGCCTTCTGCCCTGATGCCCCCTGCCCTTCCACTGAGCTAAAGCCCTTAGACCCCTCCCCCCAGCAGGGCAGAAGCCCCTTATCCTATCACCCCGCCGCATGGCAGAAGCCCCGAGCTCCCCCCTTCCCAGTCCTGTAGATGGAAATGGGTGGGGGGTGCGTGCGGGGCTCTGGGGGGCAAGAGGACAAGCCACAGTTTGGCCACGTCTGTACTATGCTGATCGTTGGCTGCGATTTCAGCCCTTGTGGCCATTGCAGTGCAGCCTGCTCAGTGCACTCTAATTAGCTTGTCTCTCACCAACAGAAGTTGGTCCAATCAAGGATATTACCTCGCCCACCTGGTCTACTCGAATTTAGGACAGGCAGACCTGCCTGCAGAGAGCAGAAGCAAGATTAGTGGAGGATCTGGCCCCTCGTGTGTAATAAAGAGTGGATCAGTGTTTTATAATGCCATACAAACCCACACACCAGAACGTCAGTGGGCGGCTGCTCAGTGTAACTTCAGGTGGAAAGCAGGAGAGACAGTGTGGGGAAAAGACTCATCAGTCTTATTCCAGTCTGGGCATGACTCTGTAGTTCAGCTCCTCTGGGCCAACTTGGTAGATGTTATTAATCTCTGGAAATCAGCATAAAACAGAGAATTGCATTCACAGCAGTCCACCAAGAGTTTTCAAGTAGCAGCATTGCCAACATAGCAGAGGAAATCCAACAAGTGTGTATTCAGACATTGGCTAGTCCAAATCCTGGCCCCATTGCCCACAATGCAGCCATAAAACTTGGGGACAAATTGCGATTGCCTTATTTTTGCTACTCCCAGAAGCAAGGCAATCACCATATGAAGCACAGATAGCTAGATTAGTCACTCTTTGGGACTTTTGCCATTCATGTCAGTGGGACAAGGATTTGGCCCACAACTTTAACTCAATGGCTTGATGCTTGCGGGATTCAGCTTGTAACTAAGATCAGAAAGAAGAGGAGGATCCTCCTCTGACAGTGTATATTGTAATATTTCATACTTCCATATGCCTTTATTTTCCATTTTGTATTTTTAATTCATTATGAAGTTTTCAGACAGAAGTGGATGTCATATGTGTAAGCTGAGTTCCTTGTTTTTTTCTTTTGCCTGTCACTGGCTGCATGCTCTCTATTGATGTCTTGTTCCTGGTACTTGACACTGACCATCTTGTCTGTGAAAGGAAGCACTCCTGCTGGCTTGCCTGATAAGAAGAAAGGGAAGTTTGCTTGGTTTAGTCACTCCACAGAAACCCATGGTAATGTTCCACTGTGCTCTGTGTCCATAACATGTGTGTGTATACGTATATATATATATTGTATGTGAGTATATTTATGCATGTATGTGCCTCACTCCTTCTATTGCTTGTGCAGTGTCCTGTATATGTGTTTGAGGTGTTGCAAAGCAACCTTTTTCTAATATCTTCAAAACTGTTTTCCATTTGCAATCAAGCTGAAATATGTTTTGAAGGTGCTTCACTTCATATCAGAAGATTACGGGCCAAATAACTGTTTTGTTTTCCTGGGGTGGGGTCAGACTGTATGATCAAATGTTAACCTTGGGGGTTGGTTTCTTTTTCAGTTTGCTTGGCGGTTTCTTGTGCGTCAAAATATTAATCTCGCTGGTTTCTTAGGTTGTTTCTCCAAGCAAAGACAATAAGAACACATATGTTACTGTTGCCCCTTTTTGACCTAAGCAGCTAGTCAAAGTTCAGGACCCTAGAAATGTTCCAGTTGGAAGCAGAAATTGATGGAGTCTGGTATTTTCTTTGTTGCAATCTTGTTTATTTACAAGAAATATACAAAATCTTCCTTCTCCAAACCCAGGAGGAAGCAAGAACAAAAGGAGCAGTTTCTTAGCTTACAGCCCCAAGCCTCTCTAGCCAGCAGATCCAAAATCCCTCTCCACTACCCTTTTTCCAGGGTCACACTGTGCTTACAGGCTACTGCTAGGCTTTCTAGCATTTTGCATCTGCCTCTCTGTTTTTGTCTTTTTCAGTCTGTTGTCTCCTCTTCCCTCACCCCTATCCAAACAATACTCAGCCAAAAGCTCCTGGGCAAATTTCACACATTCTTCTTGTCTTAAGTGGGGGCTTATGCTTACAGTAATGTTAATTGAATGGTGCCTTCACACCTCTCAATCTCAATGGGGTTTTAACTCAACCCATAACAAGATTTCAGCCAGCTCATAAGATTATGTAAAGGTGTGGACACACTTGGAGCAATGCATTTGGTCATGTTGGAGGGAGTGCCATAGTGTCAAATATTTCATTCAGTGCTCAAAAACACAATCTAAGAAATTTAGCTCTCCATAAGAGACAAAGTAGAAATGCTGGAGATTGTTAGGTTGAAAAAGAGGGAATACTCTGCACTGAAGCAAGAATACAGGATACGTTTGGAAGGGCCATCAGATCTCTCTCCAGTTTCTAAAAGAGGACCTGGTCTCACAGCCCATTGGACATCTGCCCAGTTGCAAATGCAGAGCATACCCTGAAAGGACCATCAAGTTTATCTCCTGGAGTTAGTTTAGCTCTTGCTCTGGTGGCCCATTGGATGTCTGTCTTATTGCTAAGAATAGCTGTGTTCTTAGTAATACACAAGATGTTCTGACAGCCCATTAAATATCTTTCCAGCCGCTAATACACAGCATGCTCTAAAGTCCCACCGACATCTATACAGCTGCTAACATAGGTCATGTTCTGACAGCCTATCAGACATCTGTCCAACCCCATCATACCATTCAGTTTGAAGAGTCATTTCTTTGTCTTTAATTCAATTTGTGTATTTGGAAAGTAGGGAGGGAGGAAAGACATGTAGGGAGAAGTGCTGTCCTTTGTGCCACATGACCTCAGACAGATATATGCTAAGGAGGTATTTTAATTCTCCAAACAAGGGACACAAGCAGTTACTCAGTTGGAGTTGTCCTGTTCCATGAACTCTTGGTGGAATGAAAGATTTAGGGGATTGATAGTCTAGGAAGTCAGTCCCCTGTTCAAAAACAATCAGGTAGATGTGGATTACAATATTCAGCCTGGTTCTTAATTGACAGGTGTTCACACAAAAACTCCACCACAGTCAGTATTCTTTAGCTTCCTTGTTGGAAATTCTAGAAAGTCAGGTCATAGACTGAATGGGTCATAGAAACTGAGCTACTCTCTCATTCCTAGAGATCCCATTCCTCCAGGTGGGAGGTTGAGGCACAGCGGTGGGCAGTTTTGGGGAGGATAGCATCACTGCTGCTAATGCTATAGCTGCTTTTCAGATAACAGAGGACTTCAGGCACAAGAGCTGTGACTCTGGTACTTTTCATCAGCCATCAGTTCACCAGAACATACATCATTTATTTTAAAAAATGTAGACCATGCAGAAATAAAGGAATGTTTTTTAAATGTTCCACTGTTAATCTCTTTGGTGGTTTTGCCAGATTTTCCCTCCAGTTTCCATTGATCCTATTTATAAACTTTCAAGGGATTAATTCACTGAAAGAAGCAGAGCAGCAGCTCTTGTCCCACTCTTTTCTGATGGGGAACTTGAGTGTATACTTAAGCTATACCTGCTTGGCCTATGCAATAAGGCCACAGACTTGCTCAGCAAACTGCATAAGTAGGGCCCTACTATATTTACGACCCTGGAAAACGCAACACGGACTGTGAAATCTGGCCTCCCCCATGAAATCTGGCTATTGTAGAGGAGGGGCAGAGCTGGGGGCACCCCAGCTGGAGGCTCCTACCCTGCACCGGGCTCCAGCTGCTAGTTCTGGCCAGGATGGGACTACTTCTTCCTCTGCAGGAGCCACGACTGGGGCCAGGTCAGACCCACCTCCAGGAACCTCCCCCAGCTGCAGGAAGCTCAACGGCTTCTGAATGGGAGCCCAGATCTGAAGGCAGTGCTGCCACCAGCAGCAGCCTAGCCAGGACTAGCAGCTGGAGTCTGGCACATAGTAGGAGCCCCTGGCTGGGGCACCCCCAGCTCTGCCCCTTCCAGGCCCAGCGCTCAGGGTTAAAGGGGCCTTCAGCTGGCTGCGTTTGGGGAGAGGTGACCACGGCATCCCCTTGACCATGGCACCTACCCATAAGGCTGGCCCTGCTGTCCCCAAAAAAGTGGTAACCCGTTCCCCATAGCATGAGACCCTCACCTCTGTGCTGCTGCTGGCAGTGGCCCTGCCTTCAGGGCTGGGTGCCTGGCCAGCAGCCACCCTCTAGCAGTCCAGCTCTGCAGTGCTGCCTTCAGAAGTAAAGATGGCAACACCATGACCCCCCCTACAATAGCCTTACAACTCCACAGCCCCACAACCCCCTTTTGGGTCAGGACCCCCACATTTACAATACAGTAAAATTTCAGATTTAAATATCTAAAACCATGAAATTAATGGCAAAGAGTCCTGTGACACCTTATAGACTAACAGACATATTGGAGCATAAGCTTTTGTGGGTAAATACCAACTTCATCAGATGCAGGTATAACTATGCAAGCAAGAATCAGGCTAGGGATAACGAGGTTAGTTCAATCAGGGAGGATGCGGCCCTCTTCTAGCACTTGGAGGTGTGAACACCAAGGGAGGAAAATATCCTATGACTGTGAAATTGACAAAAATGGACCATGAATTTGGTAGGGCCCAATGCATAAGGCTCAGATATTGCTACTCAGAGTCTATTTGCTAAGCTGTCCCCTCCATTGTCATTGGTTGACAATAGATGTTTTGCAATCTAATCACCAACTCTTTGCTTTTTCTTCACTTTGCAGTGAGCATGCCTACAAGTGAGACTGAGTCCGTGAACACAGACAATGTGGCAGGAGCAGATATTGAAGGAGAAAACTGCGGTGCTAGGCTGGCGTGAGTACATATATAAAGATATCAATGTTGCTTCTGCTGCAGGCAAGATGGATTTAAAGGGTTAAATCCAAATATTTTAAATGCAAATTTAAGGGTTTTGTGGCAAAATACCTTGTTCACCTCAGTAGGCTCAGTCCTTTTTAGCCTTGGAGACTCAGGTTTGGGGCAAGGTGAATCCTTATAGGTGGCACATGGTCCTGCTACTCCTCTCCTCAGTCAGTCCCTTGTGCTTGTTTTCCTTCCCTTCTGGGGAGCAAGTACAGCCTCCCTACTGGGAGGGTCTGGCATCTTGCTGCAAACAGCATACTAGCAGCTTCCCTACTCCCCCACCCAGGGGAGGATTTAAAAAGGTCCCAAGTAGTTGGAGTCAGCTGAACCTAATTGGTTCCCTAGCAACCCCTTTTCCATCTGAACCTTATTGCCCCATGGTTCTCTCTCCTCAGTGGATAGGGAGGGGCCTTTTAATCCCCTAGGACTAATTACTACCCCCCCCCTTTGTAGCTGTTTGTCCTGGATTTACCACAGTTTTTAAACAAGAAAATTGTATGTGGGAAGTTACGAAACCTAATAGGCCACATTCTGATCTCAGTCAAGTAAATCCAGAGTGACTCTTGATCTCAGTGGAGGGATTTGGGATTTATGTGTTAATTAGACCAGAATCAGGTGCACTATAAAGAGAACTGTTTCTATGGTCTTATCCACACATGAAAATTAAAGGATAATAAGGAAGGGTGTAAATTTGAATGAATTAAATATTTCTTGATTAATTTCATCTAAGGACACTCTTATTCCAGAATAAGATTGCCTTAATTCAGAATAAGGCACTCTTATTCTGGAATATGAACATCTGCACGTGGAGTTAATCAGTAATAGCGATTCTGGAATCACTACCCATGTAAACAAGCCCTATAATGTACTTTTTAAAAAGTTGATGAAAACCATTTTTTTTAAATTAAACATTCTCCTGTATTGATAGATACCCAGACAGAATGACATTGGTCTAGCTAGCACAGGAGAACCAAAGAGTGAAACTGACTAGTCTGATTTAATGAGATGAGTGACATGCAAAAAGCAAGCAAACATCATACATTATGTAAAATCATTTTGATACTCAGCATTCTTTCAGGTTTAATTACTTAAGGTGTTATTAATAGAACAGGTAACATAATTTAAATATATACCTCTGGTCCCAAACCTGCAAGCACTCAAGAGTTGCAGCATTTTTATTTTGAAAAGTTTCCCTTTAAAAGTGATGGATCCAGATTCCAAAATTCTGGATATGTTCTCAAATCAATGCACAACGTTTTCATCAGGACTAATGGGATTTGCACTGCACATCAAGTTCCGATTACTGTACATAGCATGGTACCTCTTATTATAAAAATGTTAATGATGACATAGAAGTACCTCAATCAGAAAAAATGCCATGGGTCATAAAATCTATTAGGCACATATGCAAAATATGTGAGACAGTATTTCTGGAAGGTATTTAAAATATTATGTGCTGGACTATGGCAGGCCCTTGTGTGAGTGCATAGCAGAGTGGGGAAAGCATCTTCTCTCACCCTCTTGCATGGCTCTCACAAGGGCTGGTCACAATTGCAGGCAGAATGCTACGTCAGTGTGTACCCAGAAGCATATGTCACACCAAAGGGAGGAAGTGGTAGGTGGGATTATAAGTGACATCACTACCTCAACTGCCCTGCAGAACAGCCTCAGCACACCTGTGGTGCATCCTGCACAGTTCCCTTGCAAACTGAAGAACTCAAGGAGGCAAAAATCCACCCCAAGCTCCCTGGGACCTATACTATAGAAGCGTAATTTAGGTCCCATAATATTGGTCAGCAGTTGCCACTATCTGTAATTACTTATCTGGTGTGCACAAAGTTATTTGCAAGTGCAGTTTGTTTTCATCAACCAGATCACAAACCTCATGAAAAATTACTTATCCTTTTCCTTGTGCTTCCTCCATCTGTCTGCTGCATTCACCTGTTCTCTTTTGTAGTTTGTAAGCTCTTCGTGGCAGGGACTGTCTCTTTTTTCCTTTGTGTGTATAGTGTTTGTCACTAGCAGAGGTCCTTAGGCATGAGCGTAATACAAATAATAACAAAAATGGCAAATGTATTATAGTGTCTATATAGTCACCTTTGTAATTTAATATTACAATGTGCATTCATATCATGCTTTTCATCCCAAAGGATCCTAAAGCACTTCATGGTCTGTGTATGTAGGGGTCACTTTTCCAGCACTGAAGTGCAACCACCTTCAGGGTAAAAAGTGGCGGCTATCTGAAAGTGCCAGGAGACACTACGCATTCATGGGTTTAGGAGACATGAAGGATGACTTGTCCTATGTTGAAACTGCAGGGGGGATTTTGACAGCTAGAGTAGAATTACCTTAATTAGAAAGTGGCCAGGATACTGAGGCTAACACTCAATTCTGTAGGTAATCAGGTTTTCAAATATATGTTTCTGTGGGGTGCAAAATAGGCCTAAAATAGCTAGAGATGACCAGTGGGAAATTCCACACTGTTACTTTCTGCTCCAGCTATCCGCCTACCCAAAGTGTAAGGGGGAAGGACAGGACATGTCAGGGGAATTCCAGGGGCTGGGCATGGACAGGAAGGTGCATGGTGGAGCAAAGCTCTTTTACACCTGATCCTCAACTGGTGTGGAACTTACACCAGTGGTGGAAATTAAGATAGGCCCATTGCTGTTTTAAGTTCCATCAGGGTTGGACAGCTGAGGATCAAGGAGGGAGATGCAGCCATCTTTCTGCAGTTGCCACTCTCCACTATATCTGAGAACAACTCAAACAGTGGGAAATTGAAGCCAATACAGTTTTATGGGGAGGGGCTTCACATTCCTTCCTCCAAAAAAGACTAGAATCTCAGCAAACTTTTCTTTGGCCAAAAGAAGACTGGGTGCAAGTTCCTCTATGCCCCATTGATACTGTTCCAAGCGTCAGGGAAATGGAAGATGCTCCCTGCCACCAGGATAACAAGAGGCCACACCAGTGTGTTTGAAATCCAAACCCAAATCTGGACTGAGATCCACATTTTGCCAATGGTTCCTGTCTTAATAATGGGCCTGAACCAATAATCTGGATCTGAAAACTCTCCAACTTTAGGGAAGTTCAGATCTGGATCTGATCTTTGGTGCTTGGGCCCATCTCTAGTTTATTGTAGTTGTCATGTCTCCCTCTCAGGCAGCAACAAGTCTGAAATTCAGATTGTTAGGGTGTACCAAATCCTGAAGTTCCTATTAAATCCTTGTTCAATCCTCATGTAAGCCAAAATACCCCATGGAGCATGTAAAAAATTATGTAAGAATTTCACAATTTGACCTATTAAGTTGAATGAGAGTATTCCTTGAGGAGAGGCTGAGTAAGGACTTCAGGATTTGGCCTGATAATAGGGAAGTAGTGATTAGCTCAATTCTAAAATACAGGGGGAATTCTTTTATGAAGAATGCTGAATCTTTCAGACAAGTTTATAAGGCCATATCTTCAGTTCGTAACAGGCTTTTTAAAATTATTATTATTATTTATTATTATTTTTGCTCCTTTGGCTTCAGTTGAGCAATGCCCATTTACTCCATCTGAAGATCTGACCTGTACTTTTTAGTAGACCTTTGTGAGTTCATCTTTCCACTGGAATTTGCAAGCACAAATGAAATAACTAGATGAACTTTGTAAAGCTTCAATTTGTCTTTTAGGCAAATTATCATTTCTACAAATCTGGTAAAATCTCAGGGGCAATGAGTCCCTTTAGTCTTGTTGGAGCAATAGGGAGATTTCAAGTCAAAGTTGATTTTTTTAGTGACATAGGGCTGAAGGGTATTTAACTCTGTCAGTTTAGCAAGTCAACCTTGCCATCAGATTTCAGAGTAGCAGCCGTGTTAGTCTGTATACACAAAAAGAAAAGGAGTACTAGTGGCACCTTAGAGACTAACCAATTTATTTGAGCATAAGCTTTCGTGAGCTACAGCTCACTTCATCGGATGCATTCAGTGGAAAATACAGTGAGGAGATTTATATACACATAGAATGTGAAAAAATGGGTGTTATCATACACACTGTAAAGAGACTGATCACTTAAGATGAGCTATTACCAGCAGGAGAGCCGGGGGTGGGGGGGCCGAGAAATGACAGATTCTTCTGCTGGGCTAAGAGTATAGTTGGATAGATTGACAAGGTTCCCTTAACCCACCCAGCAATATTGTTAATTTATCCAACTATACTTTTAGCCCAGCAGAAGAATCTGTCCTATCTCGGGGCCTCTCCTTCTGCCCCTCCACCCCACGAACATGGTACAGTTCTGTGGTGACCTAGAATCCTATTTTTGACGTCTCCGACTCAAGGAATATTTCCAACATACCTCTGAACAACATACTAATCCACAGAGACCTTCCTACCAACACTACAGAAAGAAGGATTCTAGGTGGACTCCTCCTGAAGATCAAAACAACAGACTGGACTTCTACATAGAGTGCTTCCGCCAACGTGCACGGGCTGAAATTGTGGAAAAGCAGCATCACTTGCCCCATAACCTCAGCCATGCAGAACACAATGCCATCCACAGCCTCAGAAACAACTTTGATATCATAATCAAAAAGGCTGACAAAGGAGGTGCTGTCGTCATCATGCATAGGTTGGAATATGAACAAGAGGCTGCTCAGCAGCTCTCCAACACCACTTTCTACAAGCCATTACCCTCTGATCCCACTGAGGGTTACCAAAAGAAACTACACCGTTTGCTCAAGAAACTCCCTGAAAAAGCACAAGAACAAATCCGCACAGACACACCCCTGGAACCCCAACCAGGGGTATTCTATCTGCTACCCAAGATCCATAAACCTGGAAATCCTGGATGCCCCATCATCTCAGGCATTGGCACCCTGACAGCAGGATTGTCTGGCTATGTAGACTCCCTCCTCAGGCCCTATGCTACCAGCACTCCCAGCTATCTTCGAGACACCACTGACTTCCTGAGGAAACTA